TATTGACGACCAACCTCACCTTCACAATTGCCCAAATCAATTCGATAGGTTGCAAGTCCGAATGATACGGTGGCGTGTACACAACAGAATGCCCTCGCGACTCGGCCATGGCTACCACAACAGGTACGATGTTGCTCTCGATGTGCTTGGAAAGTTTTCCCATAGGGCAATTTTTACGTCCGCGTTGTAGGCGATACCATAGCGGTCGCAACAATCGCGCAGACGTGACTTGGCCCAGGCATACTTTGGTGTGCCGACAGGTAGACATTTATGCTATTTTGCGTTGTCCATGACGATAACGACATTCCTTTTCCCCAGGGCTTCCAATTGGTCGGGCATCGTGCCAAACCAGTCAACGAAATATGCATGGTTGAACATGGCGTGGTAGTCTTTAAGTTCTTTGAGTCGTATTTTCCCCCTTGAAAAATGTTGAGGGCAAGTAGGTTTGAGTTGTTTACTCCGTCGTCTAGTATCGCTCCAATAAAGCAATATCGTTGTCCCTTGTGTTTTGCTTTTACTTGCAGGTCTTGTTCGTCATTTGGATCGCATAAATTATTCTGATGACGAGCGTAGTGGTGATGTACATGAGACTCGTCCAGATACACAACAGGAGGTGGATTTTCGCAAAAAATGGTTGAAGCCATAGTCGCAATGCATTTGTCACGGAGCATTGCATTTTGTTTCGCCAAAGCAGTTGACCTTATACTTTGCCCCGTTCGAAACCGACACGAACCAAAAATCGGCGCACAGTATACGACATGCTGACACCATTGCGCGGGGATTGTCGGGGTCGACATCGACAATGTTGTTTTTTGTAGTACATAAAAGTACCATGTCTTTTGCAACTGTCCGCGTCCTCGTCAAGCGGCGGTCCCGAGCAAATGACTGTACGAGCGAGATCACTTTCCTTGTCGTATGAATGCGAGTTGTTTGCGAATGTTTGTTGAAAGGTTGCGGAGCCACAGCGACGGCTGCTGTAGCATTATATGTGCGCCATACTTCTCTCAAAACTTTTGTGCTCCGGCCGAGAATACGTGCAATATGGCCGGATGCATCCTCCATGCCTTCATGTCGAAAGTGAGCGTGAAGACGTAAAATGTCTAGACGTTCTTCTTTAGATAGGCTAGTTGGGCGACTCTGCTTGACGAACCGACGGATATTGTCGAACTCGGCCGTGGCAATCGTTGGTGGTGGTCGGACCAAATTCGTGGAATGATAAATATTGACAGGATGACCGCGATGGTACAGAAACACGTGAACTCATACAAATTAATTATTTTGTGAAATCGTTTTTCATGACAAGATACAGGATATCAGGACAAAGGAGTCAAATTGACAATCGTTCACAACGGAATGTTTTAACAGTGGCGGGCGTCATCGAGGGGATTTTTACTCCTTCACGTAAAATAAATATGCTACGATGGACTTGGAATACGTGAATCGAATATGCATCGCGCGCTGGTTCGAACCGTGCAATCAAATGATCCTGAAACAATACCGTGCAAAATATTCTACTCCAAACTTGTGAATGAATGTCCATATGCATCGCATGTTTCTATTTCCTTCTATTTGTGATTGTTGGAGGCGTTGTGAGACATACGTGTTTATGTCCGTGGCTCCTATAAAGTTTCAGGTCAAGGAAAAATTGATAATGGATGCACGTTGTGAACTTTTTCCAAAAGTTTATAGATTTTGTTGAAGTCCCCTCGATGCCGTCCACCACTGTAAAGGGTATTACGTTTAGAAGGATTTCGTTAATATAGTAGTAGTACGTTTCAGCTCAACGAGCTGCATCGATTTATGTATTCCATGTCCACAAGAACTCGCTCCGTCCTTGTGACCTAGTAAACGACCCTGGTTGATGCCCACCACTGTTATCAATATAACGTCGACATCTCATGATGGTAGTGTTTAGGTACATAAAGTGTGTGCATTATCAATAACCACGACTTGTACGGATAGAACCAGCAGGAAATGCACGACTTCTGGTATAGCTGGTGGGTTGTGACGCTGCCGCAAGACAAAGCAGGCAGGGCTGACTAATTGTACCCTTCCACGCTCATGATCCGCTTTGAAAGAACTGCAAGCTCGAGCACCTCGACAGTATGCACATACTGTATAGTGTATATAGTTTTAGACACCCACGGGGCAATTATCCGTAATGTGAAATTTCGGATAATTGGAAATCATTGGGGGCAGCCCAAGTTCAAAAATAAGGAGTGGATCAATATAAAACGTTAGGGGTATCAGACAACAAAGGAAAACATTTAAAAATATGTCATACAAA